AGCAGCAGCAGCAGCGGCGGCAGCAGCTACTGCAGTACGCTCTTGAATCTCCTTCCCCTCTCCCACTCCAACGTCTTGACAGGTTTCATTCCCACACCTTTATCCATTCTACGAGCCGGGCCTCCCAATCCATCTCCCATACCGATAGGATTGCCAGGTCCACCTGCAAGCACGTTCAACAGGGCATACACTGTCGCATGTCGATTTGTAGATCCTTCAATCGATGCCGAGAGGTCGGAAATGCCTACGCAGCGCGCAAAGGCGTGCACGGCAGGTGGAACGCGAAGACCGAAACCTGCAGGTGGAAATGTACGCAGAGAGTGTGTGCGTGTGAGTGACGCGGACCTGTAGTGCAAGGTGCATACCATCAAGTCTGCCTTGGCGCTTCCCTCTCCCGCTCTCCCTCCCTCTCTCTCCCCTTCTCCAATCACGAGCGAGATTTTCACAACTCACCAGGCGGTCTGGGTCTCAGAGTGACTCGAGTGGCTCCCCATTTAGCCTCCAGCGTAGCGTGTACAGTCCTTCCTTCGAATCGATCGATATAATCCATGTTGGTCACGGCATTCTTAAAAGCCTTGTCCGCCGCCACATTGGCCGTTTCATCCTTTGCCGTTCCAACGCCTATCAATCCTCTGCCATTGCCAGCCAAGACCAAAGCCCTCATCTTGGGTATCTTGCCCTTGCCCGTTTGACGCACCACACGATCGATGGCGAGCACGTGTCTGAACAGACCGCCAATCTCATCCACCGACAAGGGCGTCACCTTTGCCAAGAATTGCTGCGAAGCTCTATTTCCGCGCGAATCGGGAGCTTCGGCAGAACCGGAAGATGCGCTGGCTATAGGTCCAAGGCCCACTCTTGCCGAAAACTCGGCAGATGGGGGAGAAGCTGGAATGATGCCTCGACTGGAAAGATGAGTGAGGTGATGATCCGATGCAAAGTACCTCTCATCCGCCTTGTATGACGTCGTGTGACCCGAATCCAGCAGGGGATGAGCTGCGTACAAGAGCGATGGGAAGTTGGAAGTGCTGAGATCCAACGGAGAGATGACGTTGGACTTGGACTTGGATTTGGATTTGGACTTGACCAATGCGCCGCCGCCGCCGCCCTCCGAAGCTCTACCAGCCGCGTCTGCATCTGCAGATGCGTCTACTTGCCCATCCACCTTGCTCATCCACTGCCCTCCGCTCCTCACATCTTCCCGCTCTTGCAGCTGCGATTGCCTCTTCTCCTCTTCTGCACCTTTGCGCGCCTGCCTCTTGAGTCGCTGATCCCTCTTGCCCTCTTTACCTCCCCTCTGTCCAGCCTGCCCTTCCCTTGCCGCTGCCCCACTATCCGCCGCAGATTCTCCCACAGAGGTGCTCTGAGAGAAGGAGCGATGTCGAAGCACGCTTGAAAGGGAAGCGGAAGCGGACGCGGAAGCGGAAGCAGAAGCGGATGAGGATGGGGATGAGCAGAGGTTGATGCAGGGTACGACGCTGGGAGTTGGGCTGCTGCCCGACAGACCGCACAAGGACGGTCTGACCAGCGCCCTCAAAGACAGAGCGGAGCGCATATCTTGTCGGCTTTTCCCCCTTCCCCCGTGTGCAAGATCCGATTTGGTTAAAGGGGGAGCACAGACGGGGGATCGCAAGTGCGTATGAACGTGTGCGTGTGTATGCTGCGGGGGATGAAATGCAAGAGGGGGGGTGTGGACGTTGGAGGAGTGTGCGATCGTCGCAAAAAGCAGTCGGAGCTTCAGAGCGAATGAGTGTGAGTGGCCTTTCATCCTTCCCCGCCAGCTTCATTCACATTTGTTCACGCAGCGCTGCGTGCAGCGAGCGAGCGAGCCCTTCATCCCGCCTGCCCGCCTGCCTGCCTGCCTGCCTGCCCTGCCCGCGCCCGCGCCCGCTGATACGCGCGCGGCAGACACGCGGCACGCACGAGTAAAAAAAAAAAGAAGTCCCCCTAGGCACGTGGCTGTCACCCAGCACATCTTCGTGATCTGATTGCATGCACCCCACCCATGGAAGGCGCAAAGCTCGATCAGTCGTAAATCATGAAATTGTGAAATTGTGAATATGTAATGAATGGCCCTGCTGACGCTCACATCGATCACGAGTCACGACCCTCCATGCAAGCTAAGCCGTGGGCATCCTAGCTGCACCAATGAACATGAAATGCTCGCTTCAATTCCCCAATTCCACGACTTTGGCAGCGTACGATTTTTTGCCA